GCATACGACACAATCGATCGAGATCAGCTATGGCAGATTATGCACGAGTACGGATTTCCGGATAAACTGACGCGATTGGTCAAGGCGACGATGGATCGAGTGACGTGCGTTGTTCGAGTATCGGGGACACTCTCGAGTCCCTTTGAATCTCGAAGGGGGTTACGGCAGGGTGATGGACTTTCGTGTCTGCTGTTCAACATCGCGTTAGAAGGTGTGATCAGAAGAGCTGGGATAGACACGAGTGGCACGATATTCAGGAAGTCCATCCAGCTCCTTGGTTTCGCCGATGACATTGACATTATGGCACGGAACTTTGAGATGATGGCGGAAACGTACATCAGACTGAAGGCTGAAGCTAGACGGATTGGACTTGCCATCAACGCATCAAAGACAAAATATATGAAAGCAAGAGGTTCTAGGGAAGACAATGTTAGCCTCCCACCCCGAGTTCAGATTGACGGTGATGAAATCGAGGTGGTCGATGAGTTCGTGTATTTGGGCTCACTGGTGACCGCCGAAAATGATACCAGCAGAGAAATTCAAAGACGCATTATGGCAGGGAATCGTGCCTACTTTGGACTCCGGAGGACGCTCCGGTCGAATAAAATTCGCCGCCGCACGAAGTTGACTGTCTACAAGACGCTGATTAGACCGGTGGTCCTTTACGGCCACGAGACCTGGACTATGCTCGTGGAGGACCAACGCGCCCTTGGTGTTTTCGAACGGAAGGTGTTGCGTACCATCTACGGTGGAGTGCAGATGGATGACGGAACGTGGAGGAGGCGAATGAACCACGAATTGCACCAGCTGCTGGGAGAACCATCCATCGTCCACATTGCAAAAATTGGGCGTATACGGTGGGCTGGGCACGTCGTAAGAATGCCGCACGACGACCCAGTGAAAATGGTTCTAGAAAGCGACCCAACAGGAACAAGAAGAAGAGGCGCGCAGCGGGCAAGGTGGATCGACCAAGTAGAAGGTGACCTGCGGACCCTTCGCAGACTACGAGGCTGGCGAACTGTGGCCATGGATCGAGTAGAGTGGAGACGACTTCTTCGGACAGCAGAGGACAACAAGGCCTTAGCCTGATTGGTAAGTAAGGTATGTAATTTAATCTTTTCATCTTTGATGTGATCCAGGGATTCACCAATCGATATACCTTTCAAGAAAACCTTGACAGACGTTCAGTGTTGGTGTTGCAAGTGAAAAATGTGTGTTGCTTCTCAGTAAGATACTTGAGAAGACGTTTGAATCCGCCCAAGATTTCAGCCAATACACGGTATTCCCCCCAACAGCCAATTTGAGGTGAAAACATGAATTTAACGAAATACAAAAGTTTCATGCGAAGAACATAAAAAAACAGAAGTGGTTATCACAATAGAGGGGACCTTTTCCTTCTTGTTATTAAGCCGGCATAGTTTACTTGAATTTAACCTGGATGATGAATCACTCTCATCATCAGTGAGCATATCAAATTGATTGCTCAAATACATTTCATCAGAAAGAGGATCAAGAGATTGCCCCTTTTCTTTTGCGTTTACGCGCCATGGCGGCAGTAAAACGTGTATCCAAATTGACTTCCAAGCAGATTATTATAAGAATCCAAAGGATCGAAGAGGAATTTTCCAAGTCGATGGCCAAGCAAGATTACTTCGGGTAGGGTCAAAACAAGGATCGAAGAGGAATAAGAGTCGAACAAAGTGGAAAATGCACTGAGAAGTGGTGTTTAAATTGTAGCTTTAGGAGGCTGTAACACCAACCGGTGGAAACTAATGATTTTAAATTGGCTCACTCTGGACTAGCCTATCAGTCCCAAGTAAATCGATTAACGCACTCCATTCTAGTCGAAACTCTAGTACTACCCTATGTTGGTTTTGATTCGATATGAAAGTTTGACCGAAAATGAGGGGTTCGTGGATTTTTCTATGTTTCGATGGGTGCAACGATTAGCTTGGGATCGAAGAGAGTACCAGAGCTGAGCCAAAAAGTTGAGCATGTTTCTTCGGAACCTTCTGGTCTTAGAGTTATCTCTATGGTAACAGTTTCTTCAGCGAAAAGCAGATAGATCCGTACGGCAAGAAAGCACGATGAGGACTGTGTAATTATGGCTTTAAAATCGGTATTTCTTCAGCAACACATCCATTTGACTTGTTGAGACATTTTTAAAACTTAGAAATTATTACCGTCTTCGGTAATTATTTACAGACTAACTTTTAATTTCAGAACACTGCCAGCCTTGTTTAAATAATCGAGTTTTGCGATTGTGGTGAAGTTTAAGATGTTTTTAAACCATAAACCTAATGAATCAAAATGCTGAACAGTTCAGCTGTTGAAAGTTCAGTAATAACTACCGAAGTCGTCAATCATTTCTAAGTGTGAATGTTTGGAGATGTTATTAATTACATAAAATTACCCAACTTTGCTCCAGGCTGTGACATACTAACTGACAAGCCTGTGAATATACCATAATGCTTCAGGAAAAGGATTACCATAGAGCATGGTCAACTTTGACATGTTGTTAATTTGTTAAATAATTAAATATAGTTGCAACGTGTTGCAGATGATCCAGCTGAACAATTCATTCTTTTTTTGTTTTTTTGTTAAGTAATTTATTTGTAAGGCTCAATTTACAGAGCAGAGAATTCTTATTCACTATACAAAACATCCTAAAACTATAGTCAAAAGGTACAACACAATAAGCACTTTAACTTCGGCTGTCTAATAAGCCTCCTTCATCCGAACGGGATCCGCTTCCAGTGGTTTCATTGTATGGCAGTATCGCCAACGAGGTGCAGAGCACTTCCAGTGCAGCAATGGACGCAAAACGTGGTCATCACTTACACACTAATCCCGAAATGGTTGCTTTCCAAAGTCGACGTCGCATCGACCGAAAGAACTGCTGACGAAGAACAATGAGGAGGACCACACAATAGTTGCTGCCGAGTAAGCAGACGATCGCGTGACACACATCGAGAGTGACTTGCTTCTGTCGACAGCCGAGGGAACACTGAGAAATTCTTTCCAATAAAAACTTTTTTGAAGACACCAAATTGGTTAAACTTCATCTTCATACACTTTCTATATTTCCCCTGAAATTCACCCTTCTGGACCACTGTGCACTGTGGCCCTGGACACTTGATATAACCTCCATAGCACTTGATTTTGAATTCTCATGAGATTTGAGGTATCACATGATAGGTTGTGGTCCACTTTCCTCGGGGTATCCGTTACATCATAACCATTGGAGGAAGTTGAGTTTTCATAGAATTTGAGATGTTACATGATAAGTTTAACATCGTTCAGGTCATTTCAAGACTCATGACTTATATTCACCGGGATATGTTCCTGCCATAGCTCCAGAACCAGTTTACCGATTATAAAAACATTAAATCAACATTCTATGGGACCTTAGACTGATGCAAAATTTGAAATTTTCACTCCACAGTGCTTAAACGGTTCCAAATTGGATCCTGCTTAACCTCCCAAAATTTGAACTACTTTAGTAAGAAACTGACTTGGCACAAACCATTTCAATTTTATATGGGAATTACTATGGGAAAACTTATGTTTTTGTTCATATCTATCGAACAATTCACCACATAACTATGCTTTTAAAAATTGTAGCAGTGATTGTAGCAAATTTTCTCAGCTACAACTTTGTTGAAAACCACTTTTCAATCAAATGTAAGGAACAAAAGTTATTAATGATTCAAGTCACTGATGTCTTATGATTATGCTCATCCAACTGTTCAGCAGGCAACATTGGTGTTTCTGGTGCGAAGAATAGAGGACAAATATCATGGCTACTATGTCACACTGCAGAATACAGTGTTGCCCACAGAACAGCTGCTTGATCAAGCCATAAGATTATCAATCTTTTAAACAATTAATAAAAATTTAATTCGACATTTGGCTGAAAATCAATATTTCGCAAAGTTGTAGCTTAGAAAATTTCCCGTATGAAAAGTTAAAGAAATTTTTAAAAAGCAATACGGAAAATGGGTAGAAGACAATACACAAAAAGTTTGGTTTTCCCATAGAAATTTCCATATAAACTTCGAATAGTTTGTGCCAAGTCAGTTTCTTACCAAATGAGTTTAAATTTTGGGAGGCTAATCAGGACCTGATTTGAAACCGTTTGAGCACTGTGGAACGAATATTTCAAATTTTGCATAAGTCTAATGGGACCTCTATACCTTTCATTTGGTGGTTGTGGCGTCCAATTCGGTCCAACACAAACACACACACATTCAGACATTTTCTGATGTCGTCGAGCTGAGTCGAAAAATATGAAGCTAAGATTAAACGTAGGTTTTAAGCAGTTTCAGGCAAAACAGCGAAAAACAACTTTTTTAACCTACCTTATCCGATTCGTATGAAACTTGGCGAAATTTTTTATTGTGAACAATGATTCACATTTTTGCAAAAATTCGACAGTTTCGATCTTGTAAAATTTTCAGGCGTCATTTTGCTGTTTTATTTAAGCATTCCGCTTACAACACAATTTCATTACTTCAATAAGCCATTTTGACATTTTTCTAAGAATTTAAGCACGGAAACAACATCTCTCTGTGAAAAATAAACAAAGCATGATTTTTATATTTATTTTGAATAATAATAAAAAAAAATTGTTAAAAACCCCAAATATCTCAAAATGTCTTTGCCAAGTATCCTGCAAATCGGAGAAGGTCGAGTTTATCCTATGTATCATTTGGCGTGGAACTGCTCAAAAAACGAAAATCTGTCTAATCAACCCTTGTAAAGTTTGAAAATTTTATAAAATCGATTGAATAACCTCCTGGATTTAATTCACCAAAATACAGTGCTGCTCTGAATAAAAGCATTACAGGCTCATGTCCATGTAAAAAAAACTTGCCGGTTTTGATATTTTGTAACTTTGATCTATTTTGATTTTGACCAATCGAAGAAACAAATAAAAAAATTCAATTAAACATAATATAATAATTAATTTTTAAATTGAATATTCCTTTCCCCCACAGGTCGGCAACGCGTTGGTCTGCATCGCCGTTTACACCAACCACTCGATGCGAACCGTGACGAACATCTTCATCGTCAATCTAGCGGTGGCGGACTTTTTCGTGATCCTATTCTGCCTGCCGCCGACCGTCGTCTGGGATGTGACCGAGACGTGGTTTATGGGCAAAGCCATGTGCAAGGTCGTCATCTACTTTCAGGTAAGCAACGATTCGAGCTGGTCCAACCAGGAAAGATGAAATCTCGCGTCATACGAGACAAGGGCCTGTTAATCAATTATCTTAATCGATTTTCTCTTTCGCAAATAACGCGACTGGAAATACATTTTCCATCGAGTGTGTTGTTTCAGGCACAAGCTAACACAATCTTCTGTCGAACTGTGCTACGAGCATAACGAGAAAGTAGTTTATGTTGTCGTGGTAAACCAAAGAGAAAGTTGATGAAGAGAATCGATCAACAAAAATATGCCCTTTTCAAATGTTAAGCGAGAAATGCCACCGGTTAAAGCATCCGAAATAAAGGGGGTAAATTCGCTGGAAAAAACAAAACGATGAATTTGGAATTGATTACAATTGCTGCTGGAAGAGGATTTCTGTGGAACTCGTCAGCAATTAGGATCCGAAATTCCATCCATTTTTTTTCGCTTCGATGGAAGTCGTTCGTCGTTCTGTGGACGATTGCTGGCCCTAATTGGGATTGGAGTTCAATTGAATAACGAGGAAATCTGTTAGAAAATTCTTCTTATTTGTTAAATTTAGATTAATCTTTTCCGAATGGTATTCAAGTTGTATCTACTCGTGTTTGATCTTCATCAACAGTTAATGAATCAACATCAGCACTAAACCAAAATACCAGACCTCCCACCATTCGTAATTACGGTCATTTCAACAAACACATAATTTCAATTAGACCTGAAACACGGCAGTGGCCAGAACAAATCACCGGCACCATTTACACCTCGTTATTCATGGCATAGAAAACGGTGAGTGAGGCCACGAATACCACCAACGGGGTTCTCCAATTGGATGGAATTTATGTACATTTATAATTGCAATTGGCGATTCGAACCACGAAAACTATGGGACGAGGTTGTTTTCCGAAATATTTGCCGCAGGGATTATATTATTTGCATCCGTCCAGTGAGTTGTCACTAGTCAAAATATTCAAAGGATTGTTTTGCAACAAACTATCGGCAGTCGATTTCTGATTTAGGTTGATTCAATATATTTGGATGTCACCGGTGATGGTTACACAGTGGTACACCGAAATGAATCGAATGTGCAAATCGAGGAAGTCGGTTTTTTTAAATAACTAACTACAGGTGTTGTTTGTGATGACAGTGACGATATAATGGAAAGTTGACATTTGATCCGTAGCTCACTCTAGCTCGTGGTTCAGTGTGGTCCTGGTCATACGTGGGTGGCAAGCGAAAATAGAAATCGGGTAGTAGAAATCCCCATTCAGCGAACGTCACAGCTTTCACTCCGGAGCAGCTGTTAAAAAAATGGTTCCGATTCTAAATATATTTTTTATAATCAAAACTAAGTGGGAAATTTCGATCTACACTAGATACAGTGTAACCATAGACCTAGTTTCCAATACATCTGCCATGGCATTGTTGAACGATGAGAAGGCGTTCAACAATGTTCGGTATGATGGCCTAGTGTTCAAGCTGTATCGATACAAGTTCCCGATCATCCTTGTTAAGATCATCAAAAACTACTTGTCGGGCAGATCATTCCAGGTCTTCTTGAACAATTCACCTTCTGATACGTTCAACGTTGATGCTGGGTTCCCCCAGGGTAGCCTCCTTGGTCCTATCCTCTTGAATACCTGCACGTCAGATGTTCCTCCCCTTCCGGGTGGTGGTATTTTTTCAATGTTTGCAGATGACACTGCCATCGAGTGATCCGTGCTCTAACGAGAAAACTCTAATCAGGCCTAGATGTTCTGTCCGACTATTTTGTATCAGTGCAGCTAAAACACAGACCATACTATTTCCGCACTCCAATTCACCTCGGCTTGTCCCGCCTGGTAACTTTAAAGTCCACCTTGATAATACTCCCATTGAATGGTCGAGTGAAATCGTCTACCTTGGTCTCACCCTTGATAGCAAGTTGCTGTTCCTTGCCCATGTGGACAAATCATCCACTAAGTGCAACGCCAATCTGGGAGAGCTGAACAAAGTGCCATCACCTCAAACTCCAATAAATCCAGAACAAGATCCTCAGGATGACCCTGAACAGTCCCCCGTGGACTTAAAATTCTGAGATCCACCGCCTGGCTGGTCTTCAGACACTGCAGGAGCGGAGTACGTTCATCCTCGAAACATTCAGAGACGCCTGTCTGAGATCAAATCACGAAATCATACTAATCTTGCTAATTAGGTTAAATTATTCGAACCCCAAAGGCAGGGCTGGTAGCGATCACTGCTGTCAGAAATAGTAATTTTAGTGACCATGTTGAATAAATTATTGACCAAATAGTGACTTATTTTTTTGTTTATTAATTTATTTGATAAGGCTCAACCGAATTAACTTTACAGAGCCGAGGATTCTTGTTCACATTACAATACAACGTAAAACTATAGTCAAAAGGTACAACACAATAAACATTTTATCTTCCGCTATCTATTAAGCCTCCTTCACCAGAACGGGAGGCGCTTCCATTGGTTTCATTGTATGACAGATTCGCCAACGGGGGTCAGAGCTCTTCCAGTGCAGCAATTGAGTTCTCCAAGCAGGATCTCACGAACACTACACTAATAATATAATTTTACACACACTAACGTATACTGTGATGTGTACGGTAAGAATCAAACATCCATTTATGAATAAAAGTGAACCCATTGTCAATAAAAATGGCACTACTAATTATTGAGTAATTTATTATATCAATTCAGTAGTATTTGTTAGCTACTGTTAGCAGAAACTCATTGTTGTTAAAAAAAATACTCATTAATGAGTAAAGCCACTTTTATTAAAAACGGGTTAACTTTTACTCATAAAAGGGTATTTGACTGTTACCGTGCAAGCGCAGGGTTTGTTTTCGTTTTTTTGTTTATTTTTACTTTAGAATGACAGTTCTAACAGCAAACAAAAAATTTATCATAGCTAACAAAAGAATTCATCTCACTAACACACGCAAATTGCACCAATACGAACCCGCCTGGAGAGGACTATGGACGCAAAACGTGGTCAGCACTCACACATTCATCACGAAACGGTTGCTTTCCAAAGCCGACGACGCATCGACCGAAAGAACTGCTGATAAAGAACAATGAGGAGGACCACACAATGGTTGCTGTCGAGAAAACAGACGATCGCGTGGCACACATTGAGAGTGGTCTGCTTCTGTCGACAGCCGAGTGAACACTGCAAATAGTAGTAGCAGTAGTAGTAGTAAAATCACAGACAAACAGACATAACACTTGCAAGTTGTTCGTCGAACAAGCATTTAACGGACAATTTAAAAGTATCGTAGTTGGTAGTACCGCCACCTGTGGCGCGCATAGTCAATTCCCTTGCGTTTGACGTTTACACACTACCACCATCTGTTCAGTGTAGTGCCCACTAGAGTGTACTCAACAGATGGCGGTAATGTTTTAGCGACGATGTTTTACAGTGAGAAATATTCAATGGGTTATGTCTGTTTGTCTGTGGTAAAATTATGTTTATTTCTGTTGATTGTGGTAGTACAATGATTTATCATTTTAATTGATTAGCCTACCTGGCTCTTCATCTTTGTTTAATTTGATATTCTAATTTAATATTTGCGTTCTTCAACTAGTTTACAGAATATCCCTTCGGGAATGTGTTTTATTTGAATTGAAAAAAAGTGATAACCTACCTAACTACGAGTATAACTTAACCTCACGTGCTAGATCACGTATGATCTGATGATTTGATCTCAGACAGGTGTCTCTGAACCTTTCCAGGATGAATACTCTCCGTTCTTCTAATGTCTGAATTCCAGCCAGAAGGTGGATCTCAGAATTTCTAGTCCGCGAGGGACTGTTTAGGACCATCCTAAAGATCTTGTTCTGAATCAGGACGTCCAAGCCTCTCTGAAGTTTGGCAGTCAGAGCTCCGAAGACCCTACCCTTGTAGACGATGGATGTATCATCTGCGAACAGAGACAACGATCCACCATCAAGGAGAGCCGGCATATCGGAGGTGAACAGGTTGAATAGGATGGGGTCAAGGATGCTTCCTTGTGGAACCCCGGCACCGATGTTGAAAGCATTCAAAGAGACTCGGAACATCCTGTCTGATAGATAGTTGTTTATTATCTTCGCTAGGAAGATTGGAAGACCGTACTACTGCAATTTGAACACCAGGCCATCATGCCAGACATTGTCGAAAGCTTTCTCAACGTCCAACAACGCCATGGCAGATGTTTTCAAAACAGACTTGTTCAGTCTGAGCATGTTTGTTACTCGAATCAGCTGGTGGACGGTCGAACGACCTTTCCGAAAACCAAACTGTTCCTCGAGGAACAAGTTGTTTTCATCGGCAGATGTTAGGAGCCGGTGGTACACTGCTCTTTCGAACAGTTTTGATAACCCTGAGAGAAGGCTGATTGGTCGATAAGGGCCGGATCCTTTCCAGGTTTCCGGACGGGTATGACTTTAGCTGACTTCCAACACGAGGGGAAGTAGCCAAGTCTGATTCAAGATGGTTGTAGAATCTGGAACTCAAGTGTTTGAGTTCCAGATTCAGGATGCTATCGAAGCCTGGGGCCTTCATGTTTTTAGATGATTTGATATAGGCCAACAGTTCGTCAGCCGTAATCTCGGATTCCTCTGGAAAAATGTTAGGAATCTGAAGAAGATTGGTTGCATTTTCAGCAACCTCAGATTCATGAGGGCTGACGATGTTTGTCCGAGATTATGGGAGCTGACGAAGTGTTGACCTATCGCGGCAGCCTTCTCTTCAGGAGTTATCAGATGAACCACTGGGTCGCCGGGACGATCCAGTGGGGTCAGTGGAGGAATGGGCCTAGGCTTGTTTTTAAGGATTTTTGTAAGTTTCCAGAAGGGCTTAGCACAATCTGGGAGAGAGCGGATCTTACTAGCAAAATCGTTATTTCTGAGATCCACCATCCTGGCCTGAATGATCTTTGTTAATCGATTACAATTGGTCTTCAAGTTAGGCAGGCCAGTACGCTGGTACTGCCTACGAATGGTGTTACGGAGTCT